CACAGCAGTCCAGCTGACAGTTGGCCAGGAGGAGGGCACAGGAGACAGCAATGTGCTCCATTGTGTTTGGAGTTGCCCTGAATTAGGGACCATCTCCCCAGGAGCTATCAGCAACACTTAGAAGAAAAGAAAAAAGTGCAAAGATCTCCGTTCCATATAACTTAGTTACTTTCCCCCCTTAATCAGTAAAACAAAGCAGAAAATATAGCTGTCTCACCATGAAACTGGCAAATGAGGAAAAAACAAGTTAATCCCAGCTCATAGAACCCTGTAGGACTTAGTAGAACCACTCCTAAGGATTTTGAGGTGTTAAACATTATTACAGACGCAGACTGCCACGCTGTTCTCTTCCAGAACAGCTTTCATTTGGACCAATAACCTTTCATTTAGTACTCGAGTGATTAGCTCACTGTGTCACCAGCCTTCTTGTGGCGGAAACCCTTGTCATTTGCGTGAACTAATTTGTTGACAATTTGCTGGGATGCATACCCTGGTGGCTTGCCACAGCTACTTAAACTGGCATTTTCCTGTAAGATTTATTTGCCAGAGCCTGTGATGATAGTGACTCATTCTCCTGTGCGATTCACAAGCCTCAGAAATGCACTGGAGGGTCAGCTGTGAGTTGGTTTCCACTTGACAGCAGTTGAGTTTTGTGATACTGATACAGAAGACTAAGCTTGAAATGTCACCGTTTACTTAGGGAAGCAAGGGAAAGAGTCATTCATGTCCAGGTACATGCTACATCAGACATTTGAACCCAGTGTCAACCTTTTGCTAAAGATTTAGCAAAGGTTTCCCTCAGTATTTGAAAGCGTATCTATTATGTGATACAGTAGCACCAGATTTACTAGATTTCAGAATGTCATATCCATAATCTGGATTGGAGGTATTTTAGGAGGTAGTTCCAAGTTGCTGAGGAAGGAATTTAGATTTCTTGTTGAGTAAGAGCTCCCTCAGGAGTTTCTGTGTTTGGGGTGAGAAGGGTTGTGTGCGTATGCCATAGATGGAGCGACACCATCAGGTTCATTTAAAATTGTTTAGACACAGAAACCCGTGTGTGTTACAGAGGGAATATCACTCTTGGGGATGTCACGGGACTGGTTACATTCGGTTGCTGGTGGAGTCACGATGAGTCAGGTGCTGACCTGTGGGTCGCTGACAGCAGAGGTTCTGCTATGGAGCATATTATTAATTCCTTCTATTCCTCCTTTGGCTGCTTTTTCAGATTTGTGCAAAAATATACTTATTTTTCCCCCTTTTGTAGAAAGTACGTTTTCTTTCTTAGCAGTTAGCTTATTAAAGAAAAATATGCCTGTTTCTTACTATAATCATTTGTGACCTAATATAGATGGTGGATAAGAGCTTTCGCATTAGAAGGTCAAGGCTGTGGGTGTGTGTTATGCATGGGCCACATCCCTATCACACATTAAGGATGATGATGAAGATCATTGCTACTGGTAAAACAACCTAACGCCTGTTACTCTGAATCAGGAACATCCCCTTCAAAGTCCTACATATTACTAAAATGTATTAGATGATGAACCAGTAAACCAGAGCCTCATGCAAAGACTGTGAAAATAGACCAGAGTAGGAGGATAGGTAGGGAACTCCGGTGGCAGCATGCAGGCTGAGTTGCTGTCTCTGGTGGCTGGAATTCGTCGGAGGCTCTTCAAGAGAAAGATGAGCCATGCCCTCCAGGGCAGTGACAGCCTCAGAAATCAGGGGAAGGTTGACTCAGTGGCCGTGAGAGAGCTGCAAAGGAGGTAGGGCAGGATTTTTCCTCCCAGCAATGAAATTCAACCGTGCAGAGACAAAAGTAAGGTAGATATGAATAGAACCATTTCACATATAGAGCTTACTTTTCTTAAAAACTTTAAAAAGAAATGGTAGGTATAAAACTTCAAAGCTATTATTGCTAATGTGAAAAATACTCTTTTTTTCTCACTTCTCCATCGTACCTCAGCCACAGAAACATAAAATCTATAAAGCTGTGTGATAGATTTATAATGGAGTATTTTTAATAATTACTGTTAATTAAGTTGAACTAGTATCATTTTAAGTTTCTTTTCTCCAATCTCATTAATACTTCTACAGAATTAGTATGGTACCTTATCTTTTGCAATCAGTATTTTTTCTGGTTGCACATAATTCCACTTGTTTACCGAGAACATTGAGTAACCTGCTGATTCTGAGAAGAATTTCTGACGTATGCTTTTCTGTTACTGAAAAACCAGAGCTTGCCTGACAAATGGCATCTTTGTCTTTATTTCTTTAGAGCAACACAGGAAAAAAAAAACCCAAACAAAAAAAACCACAACCAAAAACTACTGCATGTAGAATGGAAACAGGCTTTCCATCTTTAATAAGAGAGAACCGATAGAAATTAGATTTTATCTAATTAAAACCATACATTTCCACAAACAGTTCTACTTCCTATGCAATCTGGGGTGCATTAAATTCCAATTTTATATTGAAGAGATGAAAGGTCATTCACTTACTCTGCTTCAGTTAATACAAGTATTCACTATTTAACATGTTCAAAGGAGGTTTTGGTTTTTTGGTTGCCTGCTTACCCCTTTCATTTTTATGCTCAATTTTTGAGAAAGTCCACAAACAACTTTATAACAACAGTACCAGACAAAAGGATGATAAAAACAAATCAATGAGTGTTCACCAACTGAAAATACCAACCCTTCTCAGCCTTCCTGACTTCCTTCCAGGTCTATTTAACCCTGCAGTTACAAATTATTTTATATCTCTTAATTTTCTCTTGTAAGAGATAAGATAAATCACATTTTTATCAATGGAATGCTTTATTTACATAAATGAAATACCTCATTTCAGCAGTTGTGTATTTCAATTTATTGCTGGGTGCCATGGAGTTGACTCCAAATTAAAGCAACCCTATGTATAACAGAATGAAACCCTTCCCAGATCTGCACTATCCACCAGTCCTTTTGTGTGAGGCCACTGTTGAAGCCACTGTCTCAGTCCGTCTCATTGAGCTTCTTCCTCTTATTTTATTTATTTCTGATCCTCTGCTTCAGTCAGGGAGCTTTGCTGGCACACTGATAAAACTTTGCACTGCCAACCCAGAGGTACCCGATGCGAATCCACCAGCTTGATCCAAGGGAAATTGATGGGCAATTTCCTCTCATACTATTTATAGCCTTTGAAAAGCTACTGGAGGGTCAGCTGTGAGTTGTTTCTGACTCAAGTGGCATATAACAGCTACTAAACATGATTTCCTTCTCTAGAGACTGACCGCTTCTGATAACATATCCAGAGAATGTGAGACAGTCTCACATTCTTTGTGTTTAGGGCACATTCTGCTTGTACTTTTTCCAACACAAGATTTGTTTGTTCTTTTGGTAAGGATGTGACTTCGAGGACTAAGGTGTGCCTGATCCTTATTTTCTGATTTTCCTCTATAATGTGTATGTATATTTTGTGTGTGTGTGTGTGTGTGTGTGTGTGTGTGTGTATTTGTTGTTCTTGATTACCTTTGAGTTGAGCATGCCTGGCTCATTGTGACCCTGTGAACAAAAGGCCTGAAGCTCCTCTACAACTATCAACATTTATCAAAGTTCATAGAATTTCAGGAGGCAAGTTGTTTAGGAAATGGATGCTATTCCTGCTTAGTTTATATATGAAACTAAAGTTCATATTTTGTTTTAAAATCTGATTGATTTTTTTTTTCTGGTACAGTGTTAGGTTGTGATAGGGTAAGGTAGGGAAAGGCAACTTCCTGTATGATATTATCCCTTCCATGTAATAGTGGACACAATAATAGTTGGCATAGATTTTGAATATATTTATTTGGAAATCTCAAATATAATAATAATTATGTGTTCTGGTATACATTTTTACTCATGTAAGCATGTTTTGGTGATTTTTTATTCTAAAAGATTCAAATGGTTTTTACATTAAATGTTTAAAACAGAGACACAAGTATTTGGTAAAGTGATCATATTTTATTTGCCTGTATGCAATAGCTGGACAATGAGTCCCATAAAGCTAGAGATCATAGTTTACAACACACCATTCAGATACATTCCCAGCACATTCCCTGTCAGGTGGTAAATAAAAAAATAAAAATTAAATTAATAGTTGAAAAGAAACAGAGATATTTGCCTCCCTTGTTTAAAGCAAGGATTAAAACAACCATTTCCTATGTTGTAATCAGCACATCTTTAGAAATTAATAATTAATGAACAAAAATTATTTTTAAAGGCTCCTAAAGTCTGCTGGTAGGGACCTTTCCAAAGTTTTGAAGAGCAATAGTGTCACTCTGGAGACTAAGGTGCGTCTGATAACAGGCCATGGTCTTTGCAGTTAATTGTTATGCATCAGAGAGTTGGACAGTGACTAGGGGGGATAGAAGGAGAATTGATGCCTTTGAGCTGTGGTGCTGGAGGAGTATTGAGTGTACCATAGACTGCTAGGAAAACAGATTCATCCTGGAGAGGGTTAAACCAGGCGGCTCCTTGGAGGCAAGGATTCTGAGGCTTGCTCTGACATATTTTGGACAAGTTGTAAGGAGGGACCAGTCCTTGGAGAGGGACATCATATTTGGCAGGGTGGAGGGACGTCGCAGGAGGGGAAGGCCCTCTAATGAGATGGATTGATTCAGTGACTGGGATAATCGGGATGGGTTTATTGGAGATGGTGCAATTGGCATGGTGCGATTGGCACAGGACAGAGCAGAGTTTAGGGCTGTTGTACATAGGATTGCTATGAGTCAAGCGACTTGATGGCACATAACAACAACACAACAACATTCCTTCTTCTCCAAATAGCTACTTTTTTGCAATGATTTATAAAATGAATGAGCTATAGAAAGTCCATCACTTTGACTTATTAAACTCCCTGCCTGATTGCTGGGAGCCACACCTCTTGTTAATGAGGAAAGAAAACCCAGCTGCCATGTTGTGCTGGGAAGCTGAGTCCAGTGTGGAACCATTCTAACCTAATCTTTTCTTTTCCTCAGATTCTTCAAAATGATTCCCTACAAAGCAGCCCTGTCTTTTGCCCGATGTCTGATCCGGAGAAAAATTGTCACTCAGGACAGTCTAGAAGACTCCAAATTATGTCGCTGCTTATCCACCATGGACCTCATCGCCCTCGGTGTTGGCAGCACCCTTGGTGCTGGGGTTTATGTCCTTGCTGGGGAAGTTGCCAAAGCAGATTCTGGCCCGAGTATCGTGGTTTCCTTCCTCATTGCGGCCCTTGCATCTGTGATGGCAGGCCTTTGCTATGCTGAATTTGGGGCCCGAGTTCCCAAGACTGGATCTGCGTATTTGTACACATATGTTACTGTGGGAGAGTTGTGGGCCTTCATCACTGGCTGGAACCTCATTCTGTCTTACGTGATAGGTAAGTTTCAAGATCAGCCCCAGTGTGTTGAATGGTAGAAAGCGCACTCTTGGCTCAGAGGCCTGGGGTACACTTCTAAGTCACCACTACTTCGCTTCTGGAGTGAATGAATCACTTGATCTTTGTGCATCTTATTTGTCTCATCTCTAAAATGTTTCCTTTAGTTTGAAAATTCTGCAATTCCATTTTCTCTGACTATACCTCCTAGAGAATTTGAAAACCTGTTTGTTTTTATAAATACAAGCATTATTTATAGTTTATTAGTGCATATAAACTATCCAGAGTTGTGGAATTAAAAACATTTGACTACTGTTGTACAATTGTAACATGATCAAGATAGTTGAATGTGTTAACAAAAAATTAAATTCTATGTAGACTTAACCTACACTTACCATAAAGTAGTTGACATTACTGCTGTGTTAATTATCTGCCACTGACCTTGTGTTCTCTAAATGCTTTATGTTTTGGGAAGGTACGTCAAGTGTTGCAAGAGCTTGGAGTGGCACCTTTGATGAACTACTTAGCAAACAGATTGGCCAGTTTTTCAGGACGTACTTCAAAATGAATTCTGCTGGTCTTGCAGAGTACCCAGACTTTTTTGCTGTGTGTCTTATTTTGCTTCTGGCAGGTAAATAAAAACAATTCTGCTTCTCCCCAGGCTGAGTCAGGTTGCCCTGGGAAAATAGCTAAACCCTGAAGGTGAATTTGGACTAATTCGCTCACTCATTGCCTTTGACTGATTCCAGCTCATAGTGACCCTTCACTGGATTGCCAAGGCAGCCCATTTCCTCCTTGCTATTGCTGGTGACTTCAAACTGCCTTTTAGCAGCACAGCTTGCTAAGGACTGTGCCACTATAGCTCCAAGTTACTAAAAACAGATCTGCAGACAAACGCACACATGTACACAAATAGGTTATAGTTGTCATTCTGGGGACCTTATCACTGGCTGTCAATGAATGTTCTCTTAAATATGTTTTAAAATTAATCTAAAAAGCACCTCTGAGTAAATGGCGTGTGGAATACACCACATTATAGGATGGAGTGCAACAGCTATGTAGATTAATTGATAATTTATAGGAATGGCTATGCAGTACCAGTAAGGAAAAATATATTGGTTTTGGCATTATTTCAGCTTGCTTTATCCAACTAAGGGTATTGAAAAGCATACTATCTCTAGAAACAATCTTTTTCTTTTTCCTGTTCAGGTTTTTATGGCTTTATCTGTATTGCAAACGAAACCTATTCCAACCACTGGCATTTTGTTGTATTATTTACCATATTTGTATATAAATGCACATGCCTTTTTTGTTTGTCAGTAGCTCCCTCCAGCTGGGAGGTGTTTATGTAACATCACTGTGCCAGGTTTTCCATAACACCACATTGTAGATAATAAGCATACTTGATGTTGCAGTTTTTCATCTTTTGTCAGTATCATAGCTTAGAGGTTTAGAAAGGATAGAATAATTCGAGCAAGCACATTGTTTCTACTACTCTGCCATGTCCTGATGTTTTGATGCTTAGGTAGGAGTTTACATGACGGTTCTATGACTCGGCTCAATTATAAAATGCTTACTATTAGGGCATCTTTCTTGAGAAGTAGTAAGCGTTCCATTGATAACAAATACAGTTTTGCGGGGAGTTCTCTCTTCTGTCCTCTTCTGTTTGTTGGTTTTCTCTGGAAAATCTCTCCCCTTGCTTTCCTGTTCAACCTCCTATCAAGCTATTTTTCCCTTGGCTACACGGGTGTGACAAAACTGCCTTTATACTATGCAATACTTACTTGAAGAATTATTTAATTACCTCTGTAAAAGGTAGACGTTAATATTTTTTTAGTTGGGATAGGGACATGAATAAAAATTTAAGTGTGAATTATTTTGCTTCTAATATCAAGAATGCATCAAAATATATTTTGTTGTTATTTATTGTCTAATATATAATTTATATCATTTATTTAGAGATGGTTTTAAATGATGAAAAGTATGTAGCTCTGCCACATTGGGCATCATTAAATCCTTTTGCAAGACTCAAGACTTGGCCTCCATCCTTTGTCCTGATTTATCTACTGCCATATTTTTCAAGCATAGACCAGCAACATGGGTTGGAGCAGCATTTTGGGATTGACTGATAACCTGAAGATTATTGGTTTAAACCCATTCACTTGCTCTGCCGTGAGGCCTAGTGAATGATTTTTTAATGATCACAGCGAAGCAAGCCTGGTGAAGCAGTTCTGCTCTGTCACACATGAAGGTTGCCATGAAGCAAAGGTTAACTGGACAGCCTCTAACAGCAACAGCAAATACAGGCTAAGCTTGCATAATGACTTTGTTTTTAGAATCTTTGAAGATCAAACCTTCCTATTACTCATTTTTATTCATGCTAAAAGACCATATGTCTTGTCAGCTGAAGCTGTACCAGGAAAAGTACAGGTTTACTCCCACTACCCAAAAGTAGAGAATTTCCTATGGAATCTTTTGTAAAAGGAAGTGAAGAAATGGATTCCATTCATTTATATGGGGAATAAACTTCAGTCATTTGCAGACCCAAACAATGATCTGCCAAATCATACCAAATAACCTGTAAAACCTAAAATAACACTAATGTATAGTAAATGCAAGAATGATGTGATTAATAGCTTAGGGAAAATGGAAATTCTGTATGGCATCATTTCATTCGTTTACCATACTGAAAGGGGGTGGGGGAGTTGTTGATAGTGGCCCCAGAGCCTAGCTTCTAGTTTAAAGGTGGCACCTCTGTCGTGGTTCAAGTCTACCAACAGGTCTGTGAGAGAAAGATGAGAATTCTCCGACATTTTTTCCAACCGCAGAAACCCACTGTCAATCATTCAAAAAGCTGCTCTTGATGAAGGATAGGGTGAAACAATGTGCACGAACTTTGTAAAGCAAACCAATATAGAATAAAAATCTTTAAAAACCAAAACACTATAAAACAACAACAAAAAGCTGCGCTTGAGAGAAAAATGTTGCTGTCAGTCTTTGTAAAGGGGGCAGCTTTGGGAGCCCTGTACAGCAGTTCTCCTGTACCCTGTAAGGTAGCAAGGAGTCAGATTCACCTCACCAGGGGCTTGGGTTTGGTTCCTAAAATACAGGTAAACATTAGAATACCCTTTCTTTTTTCATAGGCCTTTTATCTTTTGGAGTCAAAGAATCCGCTTGGGTGAATAAAATCTTCACAGCTGTTAACGTCCTGGTCCTCCTTTTTGTTATGGTTGCTGGTTTTGTGAAAGGAAAGTTGGCAAACTGGGAAATAAGTGAAGAGTTTCTCAAAAATGAATCTGCAGCTGCCAGGTAAAAAATTTCCTTCTGCTGTGATTTTTAAAACAAATTTGCTTGCTTTTTGTTTCATGTTACATTTTAAAAGTATTGATATGAAAGTCTTTTTCTAGAATAGTGATTCTCAAACTCTCTGAGACACTGTTCTATTCAGATTTTTCTACCCAAGCTTCTCCCAAATATACATGCCCAGATATTGTGTTAATTTCCCTAAGGCTATTATTATAACTGATTATCACAAAGTGAGTGGTATAAAATAATACATTTAATTATCAAGGATAATATAGCCATTTCAAAGAGCTGTGGTGAGTACAACAACTTGCCGTAGAAATAGCTAGAAATGTTTTACTAGGGAAAGCTGTTTTCTGTGACAATATCTTCCTAATGCGTTTGTTCTCTTCCTTAGAGAGCCACCTTCTGAAAATGGAACAAGTATCTATGGGGTTGGAGGCTTTATGCCTTATGGATTCACAGGAACGTTAGCTGGTGCAGCAACCTGCTTTTACGCATTTGTGGGTTTTGATTGCATTGCAACAACGGGTAAGAACAGGTTCTCAGCTCCGTGTATCTGGAGAAAATGCTCCTTCAGGGACATAGCAAAGAGCTGAGGAAAGAGAATGAAATTTGGGGTAAAAAAAAGGAGTTCTCAACCCAGCTATGATACCTGTGGAAATCATTCTTAGCTGTGGTTTCCTTCAGATCTTGTGAGGATTATCTAAAAACGGCAATGCATATAAAAAGTACTTTGCAAGTTGTCACTTACTGGTAGTTATTATTGTCCTTAGCTTTATTCAAAGGTGCTGTCACAGTGAGCAACAAAGAAAGGATCTGTGTTGAAGTAGTCACATCTGTGGTAGAACAAAATCTATTGTTAATTGTTACGGTTTTTTTTTATCCTTTCTAATAATTATATCAGAATTGCTAAGTGGGCTCCTGTGGGTTCATAACCTTGTACTTAACTGTGTGTTAGATAATATTTAGATTATAATGTCAAGTATTATTAACAGGATCCAAAATCTAGTGTTATTTTTAACTGAAACCAGAGGTTTTTTATTTTTTTATTTTTTTTTTGGTTTTGTATATGTGTGTCTGTCTACCATCAGATCAGATCTGACTGGTACAGGAGGAGATTGTCCCTCCTTTCCCGGCAGAGCATCTGGTGGATTCAAACCATGCGTCTCTGGGCTTGCAGTGCAGCTTCTTGCCACTAGGCCACCAGAGCTCCCCGAAACCAGAGTTTAACAGAAACAGATTCACTAGGTAGAAGCTTAGGGAAAGCCTCGTGTTTAAGATCCTAGAGTGCGCGGCCAGCCGTTTAATCTTTGTGGATGAATTTTTCTCCCAGTGGATCATGACTGCAATTCTATCCTTACACCTTTAACAGTGCTGATGTGCCAGAGATTTTCCTTCTGGAGACAGGAAACTGCCTTGCGTGACTTCTTTATTCCTTCCTCTTTTTCCCTTTGGGAACTCTAGTTTTTTTATGTAACAGCAGAGTTCCCTTAAAAAGAGAGGAAATTTTACATAGCATGGATGGATTAAGCTAAGAAAAGAAAACAGAAAAAAAGCAAAGTAGATTAGAGGAAGAATCTGTGGCAAATAAATGCCTTTCTTAGTCATGTCTTATTAAACATGCGTATCTGGTTTATCTTTCCTTAGGTGAAGAAGTCCGGAATCCTCAGAAAGCTATCCCTATTGGAATTGTGACTTCTTTGCTTGTTTGCTTTCTGGCCTATTTTGGGGTCTCTGCAGCTTTAACACTTATGATGCCATATTATCTCCTTGACGAAAAGAGCCCCCTTCCTGTGGCATTTGAATATGTTGGATGGGGTCCAGCCAAATATGTTGTTGCAGCGGGCTCTCTCTGTGCTTTGTCAACAAGGTACATTGCATTGTCTTTGGGCAGGAGCTGTTTGGGTTACTGTAGAGCTTTGTCAGTATCTAGATAATATGTTTCTTAAGTGTTCTAATATAAGGAACAAATACAAGAATAATACATTCTTCCAGTGGTTTGCTGATAATATATACAGACTTTTAAGTGATAACGTCCCCTCCCCAGTTAACAGTTTCTCAGTGAATTCCAGTGATAAGTCAGGCTTCAGCAGACATATATTTACCTATATATGAAGTTGGTTGAATAACTTTAAGTATTGATTTACTGTGAAGCAATATTGATACAGTTAAATGGACACTTAAAGATAGAATGCCTTCTGTTGGCCTAAGCAGGTTGGAATTTTTTGTTGTCTTTTAAAATAATATTGAATCTATAATATGTGACATTGAATCTGTGTGGCATATTAATATGAGATGGCATTGTTGAATAGAATCTATGTTTATTATGAAACTGAGACTTTGTTTTAGCACTGATTAAAGTGAATTCTGTCTTAGAAGTAGACACGGCCATTCTCCGTGCTGAAAAATGCATGTTCCTCTGTGTGAAAGGAGAAGGCTAGTCAAATCCAATTCACAGAAGCTGCTTATTACCTTAAGATTAATTTCTCAGGTTTCCTAAGCTACTTATATTTCAAATTAACATATGACCTCAAGTAAGATATTTCATTCTAGTTACTTTTAGTGCTTATATAGCAGCATATACTTATAAAGAGAATTGAATCTCTTTTCCTGATCACTAGTTTTTTAAAGTGACATTTGCTAAATGTATGTAGAAAGATAATAGCATCTCAACATATTTCATGGACACAGTTTTATTATTTTCAAGTTCTTTTTTATTTTCTATTTAAAATACTATGTAGCAATATAATGCTAAATAACAGTTACAAATCTCTCACGTTGGGTTTTCAACCATCTGCTAGTGTGAGGTCTATTTGGAATGGTTTCAGAAGAGGTAGAAAGACTGACCCATGGCCAAGCTCCAGCTAGATTTATTAAAAGGTAAAGAGAGAATATGAATTTTTATAACAATAATAAAATATTCTTCTTCTTTCTCTTAATTGACTGTTTTTCACAATTAAATCACATATGGAGTGGTAGAACCATTAAACACAGTAATTCAAAACATCTTAAGCAAAAAATAATTTTTTTCTTAAAGCTTATTGTTACTAACTTTTCCGATTGTGGCTACTTCAAAATACTAAGTTTATAGTAAGCTGATTTGTAAAAAAATTTTTGCTTGGTGTTCTTGATGTTGATAAATATTTCTGATTTGATCAATAATCAGGCTGTGTGAGAAAAAAAATAATGGTAAATATGCAAAATGCACAATTATTGGATAAATTTACACGTTGAAATAAATTACTTAATCTCTAATTAAATACCCGTTCCAGAATTATATTTTCTGAGGTGCTGCTTTTCAAATGGCTTGATGATAGGTTTGGAGGATTTGGGGAGGGGCAGCATATTTAATTAATTAGCTTTAATTCAGCAATAATCAAGCAATAATCACATGTATAAATTATGTACAGCATTGCTTGTAATCTGATAATTTTGTGGGGTAAATATCTGCAGAAGAATAATAGCATAATACTAATAAATGCCCAGCCATGGTGCATTTTTACAGTAATATGATTGCATAATTATAGCTGTTATGCCATTTAACATAATCTTGCATGAATTGTTTGCCATACTGCATGTGTTTGCTTTTTATTCAGTCTTCTTGGATCCATTTTCCCAATGCCTCGTGTAATCTATGCTATGGCGGAGGATGGGTTGCTTTTCAAATGTCTAGCTCAAATCAATTCCAAAACGAAGACACCGTTAATTGCTACTTTATCGTCGGGTGCAGTGGCAGGTGAGAGACAGTTGACTTTTATAAGAAAAGGGCAATCTCTTCCATCAAAGTCTCTGAAAAATAGACTGTTAAATGGTTTTCAGTTGTGATTTATAGGAAAGTCAGTAATTTTTTTGTGAATATTTTCCATTTTTAATTTCCTGGTATAGGCTTAACTCTTTAGTATATCCAGTCTTAACCTGTGTATGCCTTTCTAGAATCCTTATAACTCACATGTGGATTGTGGATTTTTCTGTTCTAGTCTTCTGGGCTCTATGTTTCCTTTACCTCGAATTCTGTTTGCCATGGCACGAGATGGTTTACTGTTTAGATTTCTTGCCAGAGTGAATAGGAGGCAGTCACCAGTTGCTGCCACGTTGACAGCAGGGGTCATTTCTGGTAAGCTTTACGAACATAGGCTTCTTCAGCATTGGATTTGAATTGTGCTCATGCATGGACTTACAAAAAGAGGGTCTGCTTGCTGTGCATGTAAGTTACAAACAAAATCACTAATGAATTGGTATATGAGCACTGGAATGACAGCTGAAAATTGTGCTGGTGATGTACGGAATTTAATTCTCGGTGAACACTTTAACTTTCAGAGTTCTAATTCATGTACAAAAAGATTGTAATGAACCTTCATTATATATCAGATAACAAATTCTTTACTAATTGATGAGCTAATAAATCAAATATATTCATGGTATAAATTTTTAATTATAGAATAATCACTTAATTTTTGAATTGTTAAGATAATGATTTAATACTTTATTTATAAAGGACCATAGAATATTTAAAAAACAAAACCTCTCAACTTGGCCCATTTTAGTTAAGTGTAAGACATGCCAAACACAGCTTCTGCTTGGTCATTATAATCATTAACGTCAGAAGAAGGCAGCCTCGCTGCCTAGTGTTCATGGCTCTTTAGGAATCGCAAACACAGTCTCTCACATCCCATTATAAGTATGTTTTTTCTTTAAGCTATTGTTATGTTCAGAAAATCCAGATAACTGCAACTTGACATGTCATAATATTCATGTAGCATGTATTCCATGTGAAGTATTCCAACAAATTTGGCACTTAATTAGACATAGTTGTGAGGGCAGTCCACTTAATTATCTTAGGACTTAGATTTCCATCCTCATTAGAAGGAGGCTGCTTGGATGACCTGTAGCCCATTTTATTATTAAACAGTGCTTTATGATACTGTAAATTTTTTATTAATATATTTGGGCAAAAGATCAAACATATTATTTACTCTATAATTTTTTTCCCTAGTACCAGCCGGGAAGATAGTGAAATGAATGACTAAAATAAGACAGTTGCAATAAAAAAGTGTCATAAGAAAAGAATTAAAATTTTGTTAGTTTGTACCCTCATACATTACTTTGCTTGTTTTTAATTGAATTTAGTTGTTGTTGATTGCTGTCAGGTCATAGTGACTCTATGAACAAAAGACCTAATGCCTTTCCATAACTATTGTCAGTTCAAAGTTTATAGAGTTTCCAGAGGCATGTGGTTTAGGAACTGGATGCCACTCTTGCTTCCAAACCTGTTTTACTACTGGGAGCTCCACCAAACACTGTCCACATTGGGAAACCATTATGGTATTTGATACTCCAGTGGCACAAGGTTCAGTATCACAGCCGACCCAGGCTACTTCATACTGCACATTGACAGAGTGGTGTACAAAGTGGAAGAGTGCTCCTCCAGATATAAACAGCACCAGTTTCATTTATCAGTGGTTAAGTGTCATCAAGTCGAATACAACTGAGAATAAGTTTTGCACAAAAGACCTGAACTCTGTTCTATAACAAACATCATTTCAGTACAGAACTCTGTTCTATAACATCATTCTGTACATTTATAGAGATTAGAGGATTTGTAGAATTTAGAGAGTTTGTAGAGTTTCCAGAGGCATCTAGTTGAATTTAAAGAAGTTCTATAAATAATAATGTCTTCTTGGCTATCATATTTTGGCAGTGATTCTAAGAAAACATTTAAAAATTTATTCAGCTAAAGATAAATTATCCAACTAATAATGTGCATGTACAATGGACATGAAAACTTGAAATGTAAAATATATGGTGTATTATAGAAGCAGTGTGTACAAGGAAGGAACTCAGGTTGTTGGCTTTAGGTAGAACTCTGTCTTTAACTAATAAATGTTGCTAATTTAGCCCTTATATAAAATGAGGATTAAAATGTTATTAGATCAAGCCATAGGAAACTCCTAGGGGGATTTAATACCATCAATTTTATGTAAATAAACATTTCTTTCCCCTGTCTCTTTGAATTACCCAGTTGAAGATAACCTTGCTGGTGTCTGAAACACTGTTAAATGCCTTACTATCATCTGCTAACTGTGATAGGCAGGAATACTTGTGTAGTATATTCAGATTACTGCTTTTACAATTTTGATGTTTCTGTGGAGGAAGAAAATCTCAAAGTATGAGTTAACAATTGAGTTATGTAGGTTACATTTTGCCGTTTAAGATTGAGTCTATCCACATGTACTTCTAATCAGAGTAGAAATAACATTTATCATACCAAAATAGATGTCCTTTAAACTTAATGCATTTGTTGTCAAGTTGCTCCAACTCATAGCAACACTCCAGCAGAATGAAGCCTTGTTTAATGCTGCACCATCCTCAGTGTTGACCATGCTTAATTAAGCCCATTGTACCAGATACTGTATCAATCCATCTTGCTGAGTATCTTCCTTTTCTTCACTGACCCACTACTTCTACAAACAAAGTGTCTTTTTCCAAGGACTTGCCCTTCCTGATAACATGACAGAAGTACATGAGATAAAATCTTACCAGTCCCTGCCTCGAAAGAGAGCTCTAGATGTGCTACTTCCAAGACAGGATTGTTGGCATTTGGTTAGCAGTTTATATTATCTAAAGGACATCTTACTAACTTTGAGGAAAAGATTTTCTGTATTATGGATGATCCATCATTGGCTTTGAAACAAAAAGTGTCAGTCATGTGTCCCTACTTTGAAAGTTATTTATTGATTGGAACTTGATGATAGGTCTCTTACTTTCCCTTTTCCCTGTGTTCCCAATAGCGGTGATGGCATTTCTGTTTGACCTGAAGGCACTTGTAGACATGATGTCCATTGGTACTCTCCTGGCCTACTCTCTGGTTGCAGCCTGTGTCCTCATCCTCAGGTGAGTTGTCGTTGTTGACAGAATAGTGGAAAATAACTGGATATAGTTAAATGAAAGTGCCTTTTCTAGTGGAATCATGTATAACAAATCAAGTCACATTAGTTGGAGGAATATACAGAGTTTCACATTAGGATGCAAAGTTTTATATTTATGATGCAAAGCTATATTACAACTTCTGTATTTAAATAGTTGTTGTTGTTAAGTGTTGTCATCGTAGGTGACTCAGAGCGGCCCTGTGAAATGAAAGTTCTCAGCACTTGAGTGAATTTCTTTCTTTCTCCAGTTTCGTAGGGTTTCTGGGGGCTTATGTACAGTTAGAAGTAGAGACCTTCCTCTGTGTATGTGGGTTCTTTACCCACGGATTCAGATTTAACAAATCATAGATCAAAAATATTTACCCCTAAAAACCTGAATTTGCTGTGTGAAATCCACCTGCATGGATGCACTCTCACCTTCCACAGATCTTGGTCTCTCATTTCTTCCTTTGTACTTGTGTGATCCATCTCTGAAAAATGGCTTTCAAAAAGCAATTAAGTGGTTTAAACAATCCTTCAAAACCCAAGTGGGAGTAAAACAATAGTGAAAATCATTGCCGTCGAGTTGGAACCAACTCCTAGTTGACTCTCCAGTGGATTTTCGGAGGCTGTAAATTAAGAAGATTGCCCTTTTTCCTTCCTCACAGCAACTGATAGATTCAAACTGCCAGAGAAGTGCTGCCCTGAGTTAGCAGCAAAGCTCTCTGTGGACTACGCCACCAAAGCTCCATTGAGGGAGTAGAGGGTGCTTCCATTGGATTATCTATTATTTATAATACAGAGACAATTTAAAGGATACAAGAAAATGTATGGATTACATGTAAATATTATACCATTAGATTTCTAAAAGAGAATTGGGCATCAGAAAATTTTGGTATCCATAGGAGGCCTGAGACCAAATCCCATTTGGACAGTGAAAGACAATTATATATTGTATTTCTATTATGTGTGTGTGTTGTTTAGGTACTGTCCTTTGTGTGTGTGTAGAAACTAAAGATTTTTTATTTTATCTCCAGCTTTGCTAATGTTACTTTTAAAGTAAAGCACGGTTGTTTTTTAGTTGCTTTCTTCACATTTCACTTTCTTTTTAAAAAAAATTAGTTGAGATTTTAACAAAAGTTTATAGAGAACTTGGATTTCCATTCATTCATTGTTGCACATTTTCCTCCTTGCTGCCCCCCAGTTTGCTTTCTCTTTGAAAAAAAAAATTCTTTCATTGTTGCACAATTTCAAATATTATACAGAATGGGTGACCCTGGAGGACATTATGCTGAGTGAAATATCTCAGTCACAAAAGGATAAATACTACATAATGCCACTGTCACAAAACAGTACTGACATGGAGGTGGAGGAAACTAACAAAAGAGGGGATCAATAACACTGCATTGAAATAGGTGAGGGAAAGAACCATTTAAAAGGGATGTATGATTAGGTATTATTTGCATGATAGCAGTCCAGAATAAGAGCTGTATATAGTAAAGTGGATGGTGGGCGGGGAGAGGAGGATGGTGTATTGTTATTTGTGATGTTGGATTTATTATGGCTCTGGGACAAAGTGGAAGTTCTTCAGAGGCTTCCTTGGCTTTAGTCTTTAGGAGAGTCCATGACCAAGTCTTTACTCCTCTGGAGTGACTGGTGGTTTCAAAACCTTGTTGACCTTCCAGTTAGCAGCTTAGACGTTGTTCTTCCAGGACTTGTCCCTGTATATGTGAGCTCATAGCCACATGTGTATGTACAGAGACACGTATTTATGCCTGGCTCCTTACACGATATTGTGCCAAAATGTGAATTATGATTACTTCCAGATAGTGATATTATGGGTGATTTTTAAAATTCTCTTTATACTTTTGTATCAGGAGCTCTGGTAGCCTAGTGACAAGGAGTTGCGTTGCCAACCCAAAGGAAGGCAGCTTGGATCCACCAACTGCGTTGTGGGAGAGATAAGGACAGTCTCCTCCCAGGCAGTTTACAGCCTCTGAAAACCCACTGAGGGGTCAGCTAAGAGTCGGTTTCGACTTGACGGCACACAACAATGACAGCATACTCGTGTATATTTCCTCTTCATCTGAAGGAAATTGTTAGCTCAAGAAGTAAGAAAAGAGGGCTCAGAGGGACAAGCCTTGTGGGGAGAAGAGGCAGACACTAGAAAGTAACACGGACTGACCCTTGACACAGTCTGAAAAGGGAGAAAACTTATGTCATCGAGTGGAGTGTGGCACGGAGGACTGAGTACAGCTGCTCGGAGAGCACCCAAGGATGTAAATCTTACATAAGCACACTGCTTCATTTTTCTCCCGTAGAGTAGCTAGCAGGTTCAGAGCGCCTAATTTTTTGTTGAAAGCCAAATTCTTTAACCACTGTGCTACCATAATCCCTTCCATAAAGGAAGAAGGTAGGACAAGAACAAATGCCATCTACGGGGTGGGAAGGTGGCCGAATGGACCAACTCTGCTTGGAGACTAGAAGAAGCCAGGAGAATCAAGTAAATGAAACCAGAGAGGCAGACTGAAGAGATTTTACCTTACTTTGTAGTGGATGTAAAGCAGAGTTTCTGGCTATTGTTTTCCTTAATCATATTTCCTTTGAATCTAGAAACTTCCAGAGCATCCAAAGGTTACAGATGTCATACTTTTGCTCTCTTTTTTGGCAGCTAGTGTATAGCTTGATTTATGTATTTACTAGGCAGTTTGCAGAGGATATTTAATTGGCTGCAGGTATTTTATGCACGGAGTCTGTAGCACGTTGGTTGCTAGGTCAGCAGAAGGGTGATCTCCTGCATAAGTTGTGACTCTCAGGCATCTTGTTTGGTCTCTTTTCAGCCAATATTTTTCTATAATATTTTACTTATTGCATTTTTAGTAAGAGTATACAGGTTTCCAGCCAGCGATTTCCACATTTGTAGCTCAGTGGCATTTTCCACATTCTCCACATTGTATCAGTGTGTTCTCTATCATGACATATTTGGGTTCTCATCCTCTCAACATTGGTCTCTTGGTCTTTCTCCAAACCCCAGTCTTCTCATCTGTGCTTCATTATGCTTGTTTATAAGGTACTGTCTTCATTTTAGCCAAGTGCCTAGGAAGAATTAAGACTCAGATGTTTTCTTTGGGAGTAGGTATCAGCCTGGGTTATCTTCTGAGAAGCGCGAACATTCGATTGACAAAGAAAATCTGAAGTCATGCACCAACCCAGTCCCCAAGAGCGAATGCCAGCCCACCACGCCGCAGGACCAGGGCTTCAGCCTGCGCCTCCTCATCCACCCCGGCTCTGAGCCTACACAGGCATCCGCTTCTCTTGTGAGCTTTCTGGTAGGATTCCTCGGTAAGTCCTCTTAAAAGCATATCTTTAAAAGAGCCAGCCCAGGGCGGGAGAGTGGGTCAGGGGGCAGGTATAATACGAAAAGCCTTAGAACATGTTAGTGACTCTGTTAACTAGTTCTGCAGAAATACCACAATTAGAGACTTTAAAGAACAGAAGTTTGTTTTCTTATAGTTTAGGAAATCAGAAATCCAGATTCGTGGTACCTTTTCCAAGCCAAAATGTCTTGCTCTCTGCCCTAGAAAAGACTTACAGCTTTGCTTTGTCACCTTGCTGGTCCTTGACACTCAAGGGGCATCTGTCTCCCTCCATTTGTGCAGCTTTGTTTCTGTGTTGCTCCATTTAACTCAGAGGTGATTAGGTTTAGGAAACACCCTACACTGATAAGGACTTAATAACATAAAGGAAACCATTTCCAAACAGGATTATGAGGGATTAGGTTTTCAGCCCAGACTTTGATTAATAGAGTACTTAATACCCCATGGGCTACCATAAGAACAAACAGGTCTGTTTGGGAGACATGAAATCAGAGTGCTTCTTACAGGCAAAGAAGATGACATTTCATCTCACATACCCTGGAAATGTTGTCAGACAGGACTACATCCTGGAAAAAAGGACATCGTGGTGGGACGACAGGTGGAAGGTCCGAGAAAGAGAGGAAGACCCTCAACTAAAGAGGAAGAAAAGTCACTAAGCTGAGAGTGATAGAAGTACAAAATGGGTAAATTTAGTTAGCTCTTTTACTGGTGGCCTAGTGGCAAGAAGCTGCATTCCAGTTCTGAAGGCACGCAGTTCGAGGCCACTAGTGAGTTGCTCTTCTGGAGAAGGATAAACAATCTCCTCCTGTGCTATTAACTGCCTCTGAAAATGCACCAGAGGGTCAGCTATAGGTTGGTTCCAATTTGATGGTCCATAACAACACATGAAAGCAAGGAACTGTGGTGGCCTACTTGTAAGAAGCTGTGTTGTAATCCCAAAGCATGAAGTTCAAATCCACCATTGGCTCCTCAAGAGAAGGATGAGCAGTCTCCTCTCATGCAGCTAACTGCCTCTGAAAACCCACTAGAGGATCAGTTGTGGGTTGGTTCCCATTCAGTGGTACGCAACAATAATACTATGAAAGCCAGCAAGATACCAGTATTAGGGCTGAGAACTCCATGAAATTGACTAGAAAATTAAGTAGGACTCAAGAACATTAACATACTAGGCATTAGTGAGATGAGAAGGACTAGCTTGGACCATTTTGTGTTTAATAATCACATGGTATTCTATATTGGGAATGAAAAACAGAAGAATGATGATGTTGCATTCATAATCAAAAAGTCAATTTCAAGTTCTATCGTGAAGTAGTGTTGTGAGTGATAAGATATTTATTATCCATATACATATAAGGAAGACTAGTTAAAACGACTATTGCAATACACACTCCTCTAGTTAAAACAACTATTATTGCAATATACAGCTACAACTGAAGCCAAAGAGGAGGAAGTTGAACATTTTTACCAAATTTTGCCATTAGAAATTGATCAAAACGTGCAGTCAGGATGTTTTAATGATAATCGTTGACTGGCATGCAAAAGTTAGAAACAGTGAAGGAGGAATAATAGAATGTTTGGATGAGGAGCCTGGAAAAGATCGAATTTTGTATTTTCAATGCTTTAATCATTGCGAATACCATTTTTAAAAAACACAAATGGTGACTTCACTCATAGACCTTACTGATGGGCTGCATAGGAATTGGATTGATTACATCTGTGGAAGCAGTCATTGCAGAAGCTCAACATTAGCAGTCAAAACTAGAACGGGGCAGACTGTAGGTCAGCCATCAGTTACTCATGTACAAGTTCAAATTGAAGTCCACAAGAACCAAATAAGATCTTGAATCTATTTCACATGAATTTCAAAATAGTCTTAAGAATAGGTTTGCAGCACTGAACACCAGTGGTTAAAGACCAGATGAGCTGTGGGATGACATCAAGGATATCGTCCATAAAGAGAGCAGAAGGTCATTACAAAGAGAGAGGAGAAAGAAAAAAAGTAAAAATAGATGACAGAAGAAACCCTGAAAATTTGCACTAGAGCATCAAGAAACCAAAGCAAATGGAAAACATGCTGAAGTAAAAGAAATGAACAGAAGATTTCACAGGCAGCTTGAGAAGGCAAAGCAAAGTTTTGTAATGGAATGTACAGAGAGCTGGAATAAAAAGAGTAGAACTTGCCCTGCATTTCTCAAACTGAGATAAGTGAAAAACAAATGTAAGACTTGAGTTGCAATATTGAAAGATGCAATGGGCAGTAATTTGAGTGACCCAGAAAGTAGCAAATGAAGATGGAGGGAATACACAGAATCACTGTACCAAAAAGAACTGACTTGACACTGAAAAATTTCAGGAAGTACCATTTGAACAGGAACCAGTGAAGAGAAAGTGGAAGCTGCATTGAAGACATTGGTTTCATAAGGCCCCAGGAATCATTGGGATACGAATTAATAGATAAAGGCCAGACCTGGATGTGTTCATCAGTCTATGCCAGTCACGGACCTTTCCGTAATTATTGAGGAACAGTGATGTCAGTTTGAGGACTAAGGTCATGGTCTTTCCAATCACTTGCTGTGCATCTGAGAGCTGGACAGTGAATAAGGATGACAGAAGAAGAATTGATGCCCTAAAGCTGTGGTGTTGGAGGAGAGTACTGAACATCCTATGGAATGTCAAAAGAGAACAAACAAATATGTCTTGGGGCAAGTGCAGCCAGAGTGCTCCTTGGAGGCAAAGACGATAAAGCTTCCCGTCATGTATTTTGGACATATTGCTAGGAGAGGCTGTTCCTTGGGAGAAGGATATCATGCGTGGAAAGTCAGAGGGTCGGTGAAGTAGAGGAAGACCTTTAACCAGGTGAGTTGGCACAGTGACTCCCTCCTGTAATGTGTCAGGAACTATGAGGATGGCAACAGAGGATGGAGTTCAGATCTGTTGTCCATAGGGTCCTTACCGGTTGTATGTGACTCAAAGGCACCTAACAAGGACAACATGGTGTCAAGCACTCTGCTAGATATTTGGGATATCAAGAGAGAAATGGTCCTTGTTCTCACAGTTTTCATTTAAAAAACCTCAAAATTTCATGCCATCAAGTCTGAACCAACTCATAACCGACGGTCCATTCGGTTTTCAGAGGCAGTAAATTGCTTGGGGAGGAGATGACATCTTTTTCCCAAGGAGTGCTGGTGGCAGCTGCCTCTGTTTTTGACAGCGTAGCCCCCTATCCCTCCGGCCATTGTCATAGCACAGTGTATTACTGGCAGTGTGTAAAGTAACTGCAGTGTTCTCTGAGAGTGCAAAGGAAGGGCTCCTAATAGAGACAGTGGGTGATGATGTTCTTCTCTGCAACAGGGAGAAAAGACACATCACAAAATATTGCTGGTTTGCATTAAAAAACCGCATAGAGTGGAGAGGTATGCTGTAGCTCATTTGAGACGAGAGACTTACTGCAGAAGAGGACCTCAATGGTGCACAGCTGTGTTAGGCACGATGGTAATGTCTTGAGGAGGAGACAGTAACAATGAGGAGATTCTTAAATCTGAAGCCAGCCATCTCTTACAATGAAAGGAAAAACGGTGGGAAGGACTTGAAGTCTTTTCAAAATAGAGTGTTTAAAGTAAAGCGTTTGAAGTAGGGTGTGTGCACACGCAGTTTTGGTGTTCATGTGTATCACCTTTGCAGCGTTTCTCGTCTTGGGCCTGAGTATTCTGACCACCTATGGAGTGGATGTCATTGCCCGCATGGAGGCCTGGAGCCTGGCCCTGCTGGTGGTGGTCCTTGTGCTCTGCATTGCCGTCATCCTCACCATATGGAGGCAGCCCCAGAATCAGCAAAAAGTCGCCTTCATGGTGAGTGAAATGCGGACTAGTGATTGTGAAATATAATGTACACCTCTAAAGAAGTTAGCCAGTTAACAACAGCATCATAATTCTGTAAAATATTTCTTTTTGCACATTATTTTCCCAGTGTTGTTTTGCTACCCTTTAAAAACTTGAGTTAGGCTCCTATTACTTTATCTATAGTAGTAAACAAATTTCTGTCAGGTAACCTGTAGTATCAGAAAATAATTATTCTCATTTTCGAAATCCGGTAGCTTCTAAGCAGGAAGTTTCTTTTCACCATAAACCTCTGTAAGTGAAATGATCCTGTCCTGTTTGAACTAAGAGTAGGTTTCAGCTTGAAGAGAGCTTTCTGGAAGTGTCCTCATGGAAATTCATGTGGATCCAGAGTTTCAGACACCTGTCATTTTTTATACCATTGTTGTTATCTGGATTTGGCACCTTAAACCCATTGGATAGCAGTGCTGACACAGGTGTTAGTGACTTGCTCAATCCCTACTTTAAGGTACTTTAGAATGTGAATGTTTTAAGTCTTCTCTACAAGGTCTTCATTTGCATCATTCATTTCATGAGGCTATAAACTTAACTGATGGTATATATGCGTCAAATCAGTTGCCACCTTGGTGAAATGATTTGGAGGACATGCTTTAAAATTTGTGTTTAAAAAGATTTTTCCATCTTAGGTACCACTGCTGCCATTTTTACCAGCATTTAGCATCTTTGTGAATGTTTACCTGATGGTCCAGTTGAGTGCAGACACTTGGATCAGATTTAGCATTTGGATGGCACTGGGTAAGTCACTTGCTGTTCCAGCACTATGAGTATCTATCGATTCTCTCTTCCCTACTGCATGCTCACAGTTAGAGAAGTGTGCCCCTGCATTCCTCCTTCCTCTGCCTGCATAGAGGGCCTCTTTGCAGTTGCTGTCTTTCCCAGATCTTGTAAGAGATATTAGCATCTGAGTTTCTTACTTTTGCAGTTGTTTCACCTTCATTTTCTTCCTCAGCTCTCTTAATGGCCCAGTGGTAAGTTTTCCAATTTAGGAATGAAAAAAAATGAAGGCTAAAAAGTCAAACTTTTTAAAGTTGAGAAAAAAAAAAATAAATTAGAAGATAGTTCCAAAGAAAATTCCTAAACCTCATTAGTATAGACAAAATCATAAAGACTTAGTGAACACAGAAACAGCAACAACAAATGAAATAAGAATATCTATAATCTAAATTCATTCAGCTCAGAAAATTACATGGAGCATAAAAGCAGCACCATTTAAAACAAACCAATCAACCCACACGACAAAATGACAATAAATTTATACCTGTCAAAGTTATACCTAGTTTACATGGAATAAATAAAAATCGGTCAAGAAAGAGAGAGTAGTAGAATAGATAAAAACGTCTGATCCATTAATAAATATACTGTCTACAAACACACTTTACACACAAAGACAAAACTGAAAGGGAGAAGATGACCAGGGGAGAAAAAGGAAAGCAGATGGCAATCAAGAAAGAGCAGGAGAGGAGCTCCGGTGGCCTACTAGCAAGAAGCTGTACTGCAATCCCAGAGGTACATGGTTCAAATCCACCAGATGCTCTGCCGGAGGAGGGACAATTTCCTCCTGTACCTGTCAGATCTGATTTGACGGTACATGCACAAAAAAAATAATGTTGTTATTGTTATGTGCCATCGAGTCGCTTGCAACTCATAGCGACCCTATGTACAACAGCCCTAAACTCCGCTCTGTCCTGTGCCAATCGCACCGTCTCTGACACTCCCATCCCAATTATCCCAGTCACTGAATCAATCCACCTCATAAAGGGCCTTCCTCTCCTGCGCTGTCCCTCCACCCTCCCAAGCATGATGTCCCTCTCCAAGGATCGGTCTCTCCTCACAACATGTCTAAAGTAGGTTAGACGGAGCCTCAGAATCCTTGCCTCCAAGGAGCCACCCGGTTTAACCCTTTCCAGGACAAATCTGTTTGTTTTCCTAGCAGTCCATGGTACTCTCAATACTCTTCTCCAGCACCACAGCTCAAAGGCATCAATTCTCCTTCTATCCTCCTTGGTCATTTTCCAACTCTCTGATGCATAACAAGTGATTGCGAAGACCATAGCCTGTATCAGATGCACCTTAGTCTCCAGAGAGACACCATTGCTCTTCAGTACTTTGGAGAGGTCCCTAACAGCAGACTTTCCTATGGCAATGCGCCTTTTAATTTCCTGGCTGCTGGTGCCAAGACTGCTGACTACAGAGCCAAGCAAACTAAAGCTGTGTACAATCTCAATCTCTTCACCATCCATCCTGATGCTGCCAATTGGTCCAGTGGTGAGAATCTTTGTCTTCTTGACATTGAGCCTCAATCCATATTGTAGGCTGCAGTCCTTGACACTCAGCAGCAGGCGCTTCAGGTCCTCCTCAGTTTCAGCAAGCAGGGTTGTGTCATCTGCATAACGCAGGTTGTTGATAAATCGTCCACCAATCTTGACCCCACATTTCTCCTCATAGAGTCCAGCCTCCTGGATAATCTGTTCTGCATATAGGTTGAAAAGATATGGAGATAGGATGCATCCCTGGCGTACACCCTTCCCAGTTTTGAACCATGCAGTGTTCTGACGACTGCCTCCTGGTCCAAGTATAAGTTTCGCATTAGAACGATCAAGTGTTCTGGGATTCCCATTCTTCTCAGAGTCAGCCACAGTTTGTTATGATCTACACAGTCAAATGCCTTTGCATAGTCAATGAAGCACAGATAGACATTCCTCTTGTATTCCCTGCTTTCAGCCAAGATCCATCTAACATCAGCTACAATATCTCTAGTACCATGACCCCTTCTAAACCCAGCCTGGACTTCTGGTAGTTCTCTGTTGATGTGCTGTTCCAGTCGTTTTTGGATAATCTTCAGTAAAATCTTGCTTGCATGTGAAATCAGTGAGGTTGTTCTGCTTTTTCTTTTTTTTATTATTTTTTTTTATTTTGCACAAAAAAATAATAATAAATTTAAAAAAAAAGAAAGAGCAGGAGTAACAGTGTCAATTTTTTCTAAAATAGAATTTAATGCAGAAGCCAGCAAATGAGGCAAGAAAGGACATGATTGAGATATGTATATATTAAAGGGTCAATCACACAAGAAGACATGGCCCTAATAAATACCTATGCTCTTAATGGGAAAACCCCAAAATTAATAAATCTGACTTTAATAGAAATAAAGAGAAATCCACAACTCCACAATTACAGTATTGTTGTTACATGCCATCACATGGTCTCTTACTCATGGCAATCCAGTGTGCAGCAGAGAAAAACCCTAAAGAAGGAGAGACACAGAGAGAGAGAGAGGAGAAAGTCCAGTGATTTAACCTGTGAATGGCAGGCCTAGACTAGGCTCCAGAGTAGCTCTTTAAGTGTGCCAGTGGTTTCTGGAGATACTTTGAATGGACTGATAGCAAACATTTTGTTTTCTGAAATCTAGCTTTCTTATTGGAGTCCCCAGGTGAAATTCAGTGTTAAGTAAATTGATAGTGCATAGTTTTATATATCAGACAGTCTAGTTTTCATTATGACTTGCTCAGGGTTTGATAGAAATTAGGAATTTTGAGTTTGTTGTAACTGGCTCAAAAAATGTGAGGTTAAGTTGGCATGTGAAGAACTGGGGAATGAGAGCAGCACCTTGCATTGGATTGAATGATTTAAAGGCAGTGAGGGGTTTGGGGTAATTTCCCACTCAGTTTAATAAAAATTTATCTTAATCTCTTAATAGACTTCTTATATATAGGTATTTGTTTTAGTTCTAAATTAATGTAATTTCAAATCTTTGTCTTCTAATTTACTGTAGTATGTGTATAAATGTTTATTTCAGCTAAAATGAACCTAATTTCAGTTCGGAGATAGGAATCCAGTCCAACTAAAGGGAGATTTACTCTCAGTCACTTTTATCTATTACACTCTATATCCACTTTGAAGTTGTGTCCAAATTTTGTACTATGCCAAGGAGTTGGGGGTATTATGACTTGGGCCAAAGATTACCTATCCACATAGTAACTATTAAGTTGTCCCCCACATCTGTCACTAGGGAGATTTCTATTGAAGTGACTCTGCTATTTGAGAACTATGGGAGAACCAAATGGGAATTCTTTGCTAGTTGGCTGTGTCACCAGGAATGTGCCAGGCAGTCATTCCTTTTGAGGTTCTACACCTCCCAACGGTCTACCCAGGACCTGAGCCCAAATTCTCAGGGTACACGTACTGTAGAACTGAGTCCTCTCTTCTGACTACAGAACCACCTCTTACCTGAAGAAGGACTTCATCATTCTCTACCTTTTCTTTTTTTTTTTTTTTCCATTCTCTGCCTTTTCACAAACTATTTTGCTGTTTGCTTCAAATCTTAGCTCCCTCTAGTATAGTGTATTTGCTCTTGGTTAAAAGCATGGGGTTTAGAGCTAGACCACTTGTTTTTTAATCCATCTCTGTCATTATTTGCTGCCTTATGTAGCCCTGATAACTTTTTTTTTGCCTGTTTCTTTGTATAATGGTGGTAATCATATCTTTATGATGGTGACAGTGAGATCCCTTCACCTTCCAAAGAAATGAGAGGAAACAATTATTCCAAATCATTAGACATAGTAAAATTTTTATTGGGGAGTCCAATTCCCATTATAATTTTTTTTTACACTGGTTTACTAATCAAGTTCCTAAAGTTCATATACATTGTTTTTTATTATTTTAAATGGAGAAAATGAAAATATTTTTAATATCAAACATCTCAGCCAATTTCCTAAAACATAACTACATGCCGGCACAATACCCATCTCTAAGTGATGGATACCTAGCTATTTCTTGAGTGAGTACTCCTATCTTGAATCGGCATGACTGTTAATAACAGTTGCTTATCCACATATAAACATGAGTAGGGTACATTCATTTCTCCTTTGTTAACACTGATTAATGCTCTTCAAAACCTGACTGTGATTCTGATAATACTTCATTTGTACTTGGCATATAATTTGAAATTTTAATCGATGTAACCCTTTTGTTGAAAATGCTGAGTTTTGAGAACATAAATAGGATTTTTTTTTTGTTATTTTTTTTTTCTGACATAAACATTGTCTGGAACATTTGTTGAAATAAATGTCTTCTGTGGAATTTGCATATTAAATATGAAGAGGTGCATTCCACTGGAAAATATGTTTATTAAAAGACTATGTGGTATGCAAAGGGGAAAGAAGGCTCTACTGATTTTTTTTTTCAGAATCTTTTTTTAATTAAATTGGATTCCCATTCATTCATTGCTACACTTTTCTCCCTGCCCATCCCTCCCCACCAGTTCGCTCCTCTCTTTGAAAAGAAAAAAAAATTCCTTCATTGGTATACAATTACCCCATCCCTTCCCCCCACCCCAGTACACTTCCCTATGCAACCTTAATTCTGGACTCCTGTGCTAACCATAATACTCAATGATATATCACCTCTGATCTGTTCTTTCCCTTATCTGTTTCAGTACAGTATACATAATTTATCCAGTTTTTTCTCAGTCTTACCCCAACCCTGATGTCAGACCCATTCTACAACAAGGGCACCATGCAGTATTTGTCCCCTTGTGACATATTTCACTCATCATCACCCATTTTGAATAATATTGCATGAGTTCCTTGTTTTTCAGTGTGGCATTGTATTTCATTGTGTGAATATACCTCAGCTTCTCTATCCATTCGTTTGTTGATGGGCACTTAGGTTGCTTCCAGCTCTTTGCTGTTGTAAACAAAGCTGCGATAAACATGGGTGTGCATATATCTGCTTGGATGGCAGACATGGTCTCTCTGGGATATATTCCCAGTAATGGGATTACAGGGTCAAATGGTATCTCTATTTGCAAATTTTTGAGAAAGCGCCATACCGCTTTCTACAGCGGTTGCACCATTTTAGATTCCCACCAACAGTGAATAAGAGTTCCAGTCTCTCCACAACCTCGCCAGCATTTGTTGCTTTGTGTTCTGTTAAATTTTGCTATTCTGACTGGGATGAGATGATATCTCATATTTGTTTTTCTACTGATTTCTGTATTAAATTTTCCATGTTAAAACTGTTGTAGGCTGACGTTAAGTAAGTAGGACATTAAATATAAACACTGGCTGGTGTGTTTGGTTTTTTTTCTCTCCCTCTCACAAGGTTTCCTGATTTACTTTGCTTATGGCATAAGACACAGCCTGGAGGGTAGAGCAAAGGAAGAAAATGATGAAGATGCTTCAAGCAACACTGATGCAGCAACAGAAGAAAAATCTGCCGCAAAAGCAAATGACCAAAGAAACCTCAGTTTACCTTACATATTCCATGAAAAGATCTGTGAATGCTAGTGTCTGGGAGCAGAGCTGGTCCACAGTCTCAGCCCACATTTCTGTCCTCCACGGAGTAAACCATGACAAGATGTTGTCATCATGCTAGGTTGTCATGGACATAGGCATGCTGCTGGCATGGTTCACCCCAGTTTATGCTCACTCTTTGGGACAGCAATTTCTCAAGTGATGAATTATGTGCCTGGGACTCAGGCGAGCTCCCTCAGTGAGGACTGTCCCCAGGGTTGGTGTGGTGTGGGTGTGTACATTGAGGAATGTGGGTATTGAATATTGTTGGTATTTCACTATTACTGCATTGCATTTTCCCACTGTTGTCATTAATCAGCATATACTGCACATACTGAAATGGAGGTAAATCACTGAATAGAAAAGTGTTCTGTAAGTGTCCTTATTTGGAACCTGCTGAAAATGAAAATACCCATTATGGTGTTTGTCACTGATCAGGGGAAAGAAGGGGGGGTAAGGAAAGAGCCTTTTCCTTATATAATAATGCCAGCAGTGGACTTACTACAGGTATTTGTTGTTGTTGTGTTTTTGTTTTTTTTGTTTTTTCTGCAAGGTAGAATCGTTTGCCAAAACTCAAGCCAGGTAGGGTGTTTTCTTTCTGCTGGATGATACAGGTAGAAAGTGCCATTATAAGTCACCAGATGGCATCTCCTGGAGACTCTGTTGTTGTTGTTTTTATTATTGTTGTGTACTGTCCCCATAGCTGACCCTCCAGTAGATTTTCAGAGGTAGTTACATTGCACAAGAGGAGATTGCCCATCTTTCTCCCATGGAGCAGCTGGTGGATTCAAACTGTGTACCTTTTATTAGCAGTTCATTTCCTTATTGTTAAACCACCCTGAGTACTCTTTAAATCTGAAGCCGTCACGTGCTGTGAAGGATATCCCTGCTCAACCCAGTCAGAGACTCCATTTGAGGCTCTTCATGCTAGAAAATGAAGGTGCTTCTTGCCAGGGAGCTCATGCAAGAATGTGGAGCTGAGGCACATGCTGGAAGAACTAGATACTAATGGGCATCCTTGCTTTAAAAGTCAACTTAAAATTAGCCAGTCAAGATTTCCAGATCACATAAGTGGTGAAATGATTCCTACTGTTTTCCATTATTACTCAATTTTTCTGCCTGCTTCAGGCACAGAATTCACTCCTTTTTCCCCCAAATATGCAGTACTCCAGTGACATACTCGACCTTAATAATGTGCAAAGAGGGAAAGAAAATAAAAGGATACAAAAAGATAAAATTCTCTTCTTCTGATATTAGTCTCCTCAGATGTTTAAAGGGTATTTAGCCCAGTTTGAAAGTTCATATCTAATTGTCACTGATGTCTTTTTTGGAGACATTTAGGAATATTTCCCCTTTAAATTAATTAGCACTTTAAATGTCATTTGTTTTCAGATGACTGTGTTAAAGGTATTAATACAAACCACTAGTGGTAGACAAGAATATTAGTGGTTAGGAGAAAATATTTTGGCCAGATACATGGTTATTATAAATTCCAGTCTAAAAATTTTTAAAGTATAAACAGTTTTTAATATATAAGATTCTCCAGAAACGCTACATTTTATATCATAGCATTCTGTGATAGGAAACTATTTAGCTAGAGTGTATTTTACTTCTTAAATACTTGTTGCAAAAAAGGAAATGGTTCAGTACGTGAGATGAGAAGCTAAAGATGATTCTGTGGGTTACATTCCCTGGATACTTGTGGTGAATGTTACACGCATGCCAGTAGACCAGATTAATTGAGAGTCCAAGAAAGCATTCACTTTTCTAACAGTTCTCCCAAAAGCTCAGTTATCTTATGGATGCCATTAACAAAAAATTAAAAATAGGTTGTGATTCTCTAACCAAGAGTTTATTGCGATTAAATATCAAATAGATAGGGAGTCTGTTTCTTGCTGCTGTGTTACAGTATCCTTGACATGATAATCAGTGCCAGCATTCCACAGTTCCAGGGTGCACATGGTAAAATCAGAAATTTTGAATTCTCTTTCAAGCTGCATGTTTAACTCGAGAGGAGGAGTGATAAGCAAGTGGTGAAATGTTTTTGTAAGCACTTTCAGCATAACTAACTCCTCCAGGTGATGGCAGAACACTGAGAACCCCCTCCATGCTAAAATAAATCTAAAATAGCCCTTCACACAGGAAACACAAGGAATTGGAGACGTGAATATTGAACTATTCTACTGGAACAAAACCAGGAAATTTATTTCAAATATGATAGGCAGCTAAAACTTAAACCCACAATGTTCAGTTAGGAGGAGAATTTGAAATTTTTTTCTGCATTAAAACCCTACAAACACAAACATGTATTTAAAAAATAGTTGGTGACTGCTTTTTTCCCCCTGTGAAGACTCAGATGAGTATGTGTGTTTGAATGTGTGTGTTTACACACATTGACATGTTTATGTGTGGGTGTATATATCTGTGTGTATACATGTATTTCAAATGTATAAGTAAGGTGGGTCTGTGTTGGGCTTTGGAATAGATATTTTTATGTGGATCAAAACCTCAACTGATGTGGAGAAAACAAATGTTTTATATTGATAGATATGCTTATACAAAATTTTTAGAGTTTAAACTATTTTGAGATATATGATCATTTTATATGTATATTTTCTATAGATAGTCTTTAAGAAAGAGATATTTATAATGTTTCTAGTATGAAATCACTAAACCCTAGGACATTTTAATAGGTGCTTTATAATCTAGAGGATAGTAGGGGGCCTTCAAGTATTTCTGTTTATTTGTTTCTGATGCACCTTTTCGGACATATCTGCCTTGGTATGTGTTTATTAAGGAAAGCCAGTACTATTAACTCTTTATCACCTTTATTCATATATTTGGATTCGTAACCTTTTGAATAAAAACGTTCTTTTCACCTAGGATTCTCAAACTGCTTGTTGTTATATATTTAACTAATAAATTATCAAAATATTAAGACCTCTCCATAAATTAAAAAAAAAACCATATACATAGTCATTTAATTATCATTAAGTAAAATAGCTTAATTTTTTTTTAATTTAAAATTACGTTAGGAAATATGCTCTCTTGGCATTTCCAGTGAGAAACTTATCAGGAGCTTTCTTTTATATTCTTATTTTTTAAAAAGGGCAGGGGGGAAATGATTGTGAGTTATACCACATAACACTTGCTGTGCCTCTGAGAGCTGAAAAATGGATAGAATAACAAAAAAATTAATACCTTTGAGTTGTGGAGTTGGAGAAGAACACTGAATATATCCCATGGATTGCCAAAACAACAGATATGTCTTGGGAAAAGTGCAGCCAGAGTCTTCCTTGGAGGCAAAGATGGTCAAATTTTGTCACACATACTCCTTGTATGTTGCTGGGAAAGGCTATTCCTTGGAAAGGGACATCATGATATGAAAGGTAGAATATGGTCAGCGAAAGAGGGGGAGACCCTCAGCCAGATGAATGGACACAGTAATCGCGGCAGTGGACTCAAGTGTGTCAGGGATGATGAGGATGGCACAAGATAGGACAGAATTCACATCTGTTGTTCATCGGGTTGCTAGGACTTGGTCTTAACTTGACGGCACCTAACAGCAACAACGATAGGTATTGTTGGCTGTGTAAACCTTTTTTAAAGAAACAAACAAACAAACCGTAAAGGCAGTGCAAGCCCCTACATTTAGGAATGCTAATTCAAACTTAAAAGCATTTTAAATTTATACATACCAAAGTATATGTTATGGTTTAATCACATCCAGTTGTACCCCCACGTCCAAGAAATGTCACATACTCACTCTAATTGCTGTGGAGTAAAAAACCGGCCCAGCTGACTCCAGCAGTTTCCAAAGCTATGAATCCTACAGAAGGTCGCCCAGCTTTCCCCCAAAGCCACTGATGGATTCAAACTACCAGAAAGGCACAGCATTTTGGGCTTAGCAGTGCAACTCCCTACAGACTATGTCACTAACTTCTTAATCACCCACAGCCCATTCACCACCCCAGAGATTAAATTAAGCAAATGAAAGACAAAACATTATTTGTGATATATACCGTAAGGAAAAATTAATGTTGGTATACAAAACTTTCCTGTGACTCACCATAAATAATGCTGAGTCCAACTCCTGTAGGACAGGGCCCACACAGCTTCCACGACTAACTCATGAGGGAGGCCGGCTGGCTCCACTGGGCTGATAGGGAACTCCCCACCTGTAATCAGCCACATGCTCAAACCCCTTTGTAACCACATAGCAAGAGCCATTTCAAAATTACTTTCCTTTCAAAGAGGTAAGCATCTTCTAATGCTTATACTTAAAGAACTTTGTGTTAAGTAGTATTCACAATACAAAGTCTCTTGAGTGTGTGTGGGTAGTTAAAGTGTTTTGAGTTAGAATCTCTTTTAATCAAATAGTTTTCTAAACTTACTTGAATGCTAGGAATTGAGAATAAGGACAAGTAATATCCTTACAATACCAGTAAGGACAAGATTAGCCTCCTTTTCTCTTAAATGAGGTTAACACCACTTTGGCAACGTTTAGAGATTAAAACCAATGAAGCTGTGCCAATATCTCAGCTCTCCTTCCCCTATGATACTGCGTGCAGGAGCCTGATTTCTGATAAGTTTCAGGTGACTTTTAGCTTGCACCAAAAAAGCAGTTTCCACAGAAATCTGAGAGGCTGGGTTTTAACTGTATCCCATGGATTATTAAAACACATGATTAGTGTGATCTTTTTTTTCTCAAATCAGCTTCTTCATACCAGTGCCAAAGCAGTCACCTCCATACACATTTTACTTTCTAATGATCCGTAACAGACCCTGATATATCAAGAGATAAAATAACCATGTTTTTTAAAATATTATTTTAAAAATATTTTAATAAATTTTTTTTAAGTCATATTCTTAAATAACATAAATGTGACGTTTAGCTAAGCATAGTAAGCATTGCTTAAGTGGCTTTCTGGTTTCTGCACTGAGTCGCCTAATCTGTCAGGTGGCGGGTGTTTGGTTGCTAGTTTTTGTAATAT